ATCATTTCCGCTGTGGGATTTTCCATGGACCCTCAAAAGGTTTCAGCGGTTCTGCAGTGGCCTTGTCCCAGTGGTCTTCGGTCCATTCAGCGCTTTTTGGGATTCGCCAACTATTATCGAAAGTTTATCAGGAACTTCTCCACGCTGGCCAAGCCTCTCTCAGATCTGACCAAGAAGGGCAGTAATCCTCACGAGTGGTCATCCGAGGCCATCTTAGCTTTCGAAGCTCTGAAATCCGCCTTCGCTTCAGCTCCGATACTGTCTCATCCCAATCCTGGGTTGCCTTTTGTCCTCGAGGTTGATGCATCTGAGATGGGAGTAGGCGCCCTCCTGTCTCAGCGTCGGTTGCCCGATGGACCCCTACTTCCCTGTGGGTTCTACTCCAGGAAGCTTTCCTCCGCAGAATGCAACTACCAGATTGGAGACAGGGAGTTGTTGGCCATTATTCAGGCTCTCAAAGAATGGAGGCACCTGCTTGAGGGTTCTGCGGTTCCGGTCCTCATTCTCACTGACCACAAGAACCTGACGTATCTCTCGGAAGCTAAGAGGTTGACGCCCCGTCAGGCCAGATGGGCTCTGTTCTTGTCGCGTTTTAACTATGTGGTCTCCTATTTGCCTGGCTCCAAGAATGTCAGGGCTGATGCCTTGTCGCGGCAATACTCTGAGCTGTCCAGGGAGGACTCTGAGTCGACCTCGGTCATACCTCCGGATCAGATCCTGGCTGCTATTCGTACCAGCCTGACTTCTCCCCTTGGGGAGCAGATTTTGGCAGCTCAAACTGATGCTCCCTCTGAGAGACCGGTTGGTAGATGTTTCGTACCTGAGGGATTGCGCACCCGCTTGCTGCGTACCTACCATAATTCCAAGACTGCCGGTCATCCAGGAAGGAATCAGTTGTCCTGGGTCATTTCTCGTTTATTCTGGTGGCCATCTCTCTGTTCCGACATCGCCTCAAATGTAGCGGCATGTTCTGTCTGTGCCCAGAATAAATCTCCTCGGCATCTTCCATTGGGCCTTCTGCAACCCATTCCCAATAGGGAGCGTCCCTGGTCACACCTGGGCATGGATTTTATTGTAGACCTCCCTGCATCTCGAGGCCATACGGTTATTCTTATGGTCATTGATCGTTTCTCCAAGATGTGCCATTGTGTTCCGTTCAAGAAATTGCCGACTGCGCAAGAACTGGCTACAGTTTTCACCAGGGAGATCTTTCACTTGCATGGGTTACCTAAGGTGATTGTCTTGGACCGTGGGAGCCAGTTTGTGTCCAGGTTTTGGCGCGCCTTCTGCTCCCAGTTGGGTATCAAACTCTCCTTCTCTTCGGCCTACCACCCGCAGTCCAATGGGGCTGCAGAGCGTTCCAACCAGGCCCTGGAACAATTCCCTTGCTGCTATATCTCAGAACATCAAGACAATTGGGTCAATCTCCTGCCATGGGCAGAGTTTGCGAGGAACTCGGCTGTCAACTCCTCCTCCGGGATGTCTCCCTTCATGGCCAACTATGGGTTCCAACCCGCTGTATTGCCTGAGTTGTTCTTGCCACAGGACATTCCGGCTGTGGATAATCATCTTGCTGCCCTGCGTTCCTCGTGGGGACAGATCCAGAGGTCCTTGAAGGACTCAGCTCAGCGCAAGAAGCTCCAGGCTGATCGTAGACGGTTGCCCGCTCCTTCATACCAGGTCAGAGATCGGGTGTGGTTGTCCACTCATAACCTCAATCTTCGGATGCCCGCACCGAAACTGGCTCCCTGTTTTGTTGGTCCTCTCCGCATCCTCCGCAGGGTGAACCCGGTTGCCTATGCCCTTGCTTTTCCTCCTGGGATGCGTATCTCCAATGTCTTCCATGTATCCCTGTTGAAGCCTCTGGTCTGTAATTGCTTTACTGCCTCTCCGCCTCATCCTATCCGGGTTGACGGTCATGAGGAGTATGAGGTGAGCCGCATCCTGGACTCTCGGTTGGTCCGCGGTCGGGTGCAGTTTCTGGTCCATTGGCGTGGTTATGGTCCCGAGGAGCATTCCTGGGTTCCTTCCACAGATGTTCATGCTCCTGCCCTCCTCCACGCTTTTCACGCCTGCTTTCCCCAGAAGCCTTATGTTGGGCCGCGGAGGGGGAGGGGCCCTTGAGGAGGAGGTACTGTCAAGGTCCTACCTTTCCTCAGGGCTTGTGCTGCTCCATGTGCTGGCACCCATCTTAGGTGTCTGCAAAGCATTGTGGGATCCTTTATGCTTTCAGCCCTCTACGGCTCCTCCCCCAGGAGGTGGCGGCTTATCACATATAAGTCTACTGTTTGTAGCTGTCCATTGCATTCGTGTCCTGGCTGTTGCACAGCAGCAAGCTCCTGTTTAGTTTCTCATTGCTCTCCTGGATACCGACTCGGATTTGGCAAGACTCCTTCCTGGCTTCTGACCCCGGCAAGTGCCCATGGCCATGCCCTGTACCTGAAGGTAGTTGGATCTCTTGAACAGGAACCAGTTGTGTGTCAAAATAAAAAACAAAAGTTTTAATAGGAACTTGTTGAATTCCCATTTGGAGCATTCCTGTTCAAATAGAAATGTCCATACCATTTTAACACCCTGCTCATGAGGGATGCTGGAATAAAAAGCCTCCACATCTAGAGCCACCAGCAGGGCGCCAGCAGACACCGACAAACCTTCGATGTGTCTCAAAAAGTCCAAAGTATCCTTAATGTAGGATGGCAGTTGTACTACATGGGGCATAAGAAAGAAGTCAATAAATCTACTAGCATTTTCAGTAAGGGAACCTGTCCCCGATACAATAGGTCGGCCTGGTGGAGTTATAGGATTTTTATGAACTTTAGGTAATGCATAAAACGTGGGGTTATGGGGATATTGTGGGTTAAGCAAGTTATAAGTGTCTTTATTAATTAATGCCTCTAAGTAGGCCACATTGATTAGCTCCTTGTAGTCTAAACAAGTTTGACTCACAAATCTACTCGATATAGGGCGGTACCAGATTGTGGATTAATAATATGTAAAGCTTGTGTGGCCACCTGACCTAGGTGATTATTGCATGCCATTGTGAAGCTTCCTATTATTTGAGGCAGTCTAAACAGCCGGGACCTGTGGAATACCTGGGGTAAACTGTTGGAATTGAAAGGGGCGTCTTTTTCGAGTATGGAAGGAACCATGTCCACCCCCATAATAATTTATTTTACGCGGACCAATCAGAGTGTTATGTGGTCCATGCATGCGGTAATCTCATAATGTTTGTTGGACAGAGGAACTGGATGAATCAGACTCAGTGCCCTCATCCATGTTTGCATACTCATTAAATAACAAATTAGAATCGCCTTGGCGCGGTAATCCGCGATTATATGTTGGGTTAGCCCAGGCATATCCCTCCATGAAGGCCAAAAGGTCCTTGGAAATTTGTATCTGTTTTTAAGAGATAAACTCTTTGTTGACTTTGGTTATGTATTCTTTAACTTCCTGATATTTGCCCTCATATTGTGTATGATTCTTGACTAATTCATATTTGTTGTTGAGTAATAGTAATTCCTGATCAAGTAGGTTCATATCAGTTTGATACTATCCGACTAAGAGTTCCATCAGATCTATACTACATTTAGTGAGTACCAGTTCCCAAGAGATCTTAAACTCTGTGGTGACATTTTTAACAGTAGGAAAAACTTGTATTCTCAACCCCATGGGGCTAATATTTTCTTTAATATATTGTTGGAAAAATTCAACATGTCAGTACAAATTAGATTTCTTTTTTAGTAACCGAAGACTCTCATCATCTCTATTGAGTGTATTGCAACTGAATTGAATTTCTGCCATATATCCTGTCCAAGCAGTTCCTACAAAGTCCATATTGGCTCATCAAAATTGATTCTGGAATAACAATAATAGAACAATAGTAAAATTGGATTAGTTATACATCACCACATAAACCTAAAAAGGAGAAACATTAGGAGAGGGTGCTTCCACCCGATTTCACATTGAAATATGGGAATAGATACCCAACACATGGTTACTGTGGGGGTATAGACAATGCTCCTCCTCCTCCCTTTGTATTGAATTTTGACTAATTGTCAGTGTGTAACATTCCAGTAGTAAGGGATCAATGGGATTAATTTGCCTTATAAATTGAATACTATTTAATTATCTCTTCTTTTGTGTCATTTGCAGGGACCTTCTCATATATTATACTAGTCCAGGGGTAGGCAACCTGCGGCTCTCCAGCTGTTGCAGGACTACAAGTTCCATCATGCCTCTGCAAGTCATAGCTGTAACTGTCAATTTTGCAATGCCTCATGGGAAATGTAGTTCCGCAACAGCTAGAGAGCCGCAGGTTGCCTACCCCTGTACTAGTCTGTTGCTAGTCTTTTTTGCATGTGTCCTATTTGGACCAGAATTAATGAGGTTACTGCATCCCAATTAGTGGGGAGGTTAGTTCAATACTTACAATTATAGTTGTATTTACCACCTAGGAGGCCCCTATTATGTTGTCTTTCTAACAGCTATGTATTTCTAACACATCAGGCAGTTTTGGGGAGCATGCCGCTTGCCCCTTTGATTTGTGGGGATCCCCTCATTGACTGGCCCCGCATGGGATGGCTGAATGCTTTCCTCCACAGCCCTCGTACAGATACTTGTATTTTAACCACCTCCCGCCTGCCATATAAGGAAATGACTGGAGCAAGCTGGTTCTCTCATTCTGGGAGGACGTCACATAACATCCTTCCACTCTGACCACGCGTGTGCCGCTCCGGGGGCATGCAGCGTGGCGATCGGTCGATCACCGATCAACGGAAAGAGCCGAAGACGTCGGCTCAGTCATGTGATCAGCTGTGTCCAATCACAGTTGATCACATGTAAATAAGGAAATGCCAGTTGTTGGCATTTCTCTCCTCACGAGCTGTCACGCTGTTTTCATGTCCTGGTGTTTTCTGTGTCCTATGGATCAATAAATACACACTATATTCATCCATCCTCGGGTGTGCAGCTGACCCTTCTTCCTGTTGCATTCCCCAGAGGGGACACCTATCATCAGGGCACTGATGCTCGGTGTGCCCTGATGATCAGTGTAGCTCCATCAGTGCCACCTGTCAGTGTCCATCAATCCCAGCTGTCAGTGCTCATCAATGCCACCTGCCAGTGCCCATCAGTGCCACATCAATGCCACATATCAGTGCCTACCAGTGCACATCAATGCCATATATCAGTGCCCATCTGAGCTGCCTTTCAGTTCCACCTATCAGTGCCAGTCAGTGCTGCCTATCAGTGCCAGTCAGTGCTGGCTATCAGTGCCACCTTTCAGTGCTGCCTATCAGTGCCATATATGAGTGCTGCCTTTCAGTGCCCATCAGTGATGCCTGTCAATGCCCATCAGTGCCACCTACCAGTGCCTCATCAGTGCCCATCAGTGCCGCCTATCAGTGCAGCCTATCAGTGCCCGTCACTGCAGCCTCATTAGCGCACATCAGTGAAGGAGAAAAATCACTTATTTACAAAATGTTATAACAGAAACTAAGAAAAAAACTTTTGTTTTCAAAATTTTCAGTTGTTTTTGGTTTGTTTAAGAAAAAAAACCCAGAGTTGATTAAATACCACCAAAAGAAAGCTCTATCTATCTAAAAAAATTATAACAATTTAATATGGGTACAGTGTTGCATGACCACGCAATTGTCATTCAAATGTGACAGCAATGAAAGCTGAAAATTGGCCTGGGCAGGAAGGGGGTATATAAGTGCCCTGTAGGCAAGTGGTTAAGGTACGACAATTTGTTGAACTAGTCTGTAATGTGGATACTTGTCAATATATAATGTTGCTTACCAACTTATGTTCCTTTGTGTAGAAATCCTCTTACAACTCCTTAAGAAGCGATATTATTGCGAAACATGTCGAGTTATTATACCTACCAATACCAGAGTATAGTTTCTTAAATCTTTGCCGAGATCCGGTACACCTTCATTGTGGAACATATTAATATTACATGTATCTGTACTGAATATATACTTTTGTATGCTACAGGAGTATACACTGTGTAGCGGATTTTATGAACTGTATGTATTATTGTACATCTATGTATGTCCAATAAAGTAATACTTTTACCTATCATTGTTGTAGTGTCTATAAAGTCCATCAAGAGGTCTCTCTTATTCTAGTTTATTTGCCAAATAAAAAAAAAAACAGACTGAACCAGAAAAAGCCTTGAGTGTGGCAGGCCCAGCAGCAGGTGTAAAAAATTCTCCAGGCCAGAAGGCCAGCCTAGGAAGCATGTACAAGAAAAGCATACTAAAGGATGGATTCTTATGAAGTACATTTAGTCCAGTGCTGAAACAAATTCTTGTTTCCATATCAATCCATATAGCAGGGATATAAGGGATAAAAAGTTCATCATCCAAGACCCGACAAATAGCCCCTTCCTGCCCAGACCAATTTTCAGCTTTCAGTGCTGTTGCACTTTGAATGACAATTGTGTGGTCATGAAACACTGTACCCATATGAAATTTTTATCATTTTTTGAGACATATAGAGCTTTCTTATGGTGGTATTTAATCACCTGTTTTTTTTTTTTTTTTTTTTGCTAAACAAACCAAAAACAACTGAAAATTAAAAAAAAAAGGTTTTTTTTAGTTTTTGTTATAAAATTTTGTAAATAAGTGATTTTTCTTCTTCACTGATGTGCGCTAATGAGGCTGCACTGATGGGCACTAATAGGCTGCACTGATGGGCACTGATAGGTGGCACTGATGGGCACTGATGAGGAGGCACTGGTAGGTGGCACTGATGGGTATTGACAGGCATCACTGATGGGCACTGAAAGGCAGCACTGATGGGCACTGAAAGGGAGCACTGATAGGCGGCACTGACTGGCACTGATAGGCGGCACTGACTGGCACTGTTAGGTGGCACTGGCTGGCACTGTTAGGTGACACTGATAGGCAGCACTGATGGGCACTGATAGGCGGCACTGATGCGCACTGACTGGCACTGATAGGAGGCACTGACTGGCACTGATAGGTGGCACTGATTGGCAGCACTGATAGGTGGCACTGACCGGCATTGACAGGTGGCACTGATAGGTGACACTGAAAGGCAGCTCAGATGGGCACTGATATGTGGCATTGATGTGCACTGGTAGGCACTGATATGTGGCATTGATGTGGCACTGGCAGGTGGCATTGATGAGCACTGACAGCTGGAATTGATGGACACTGACAGGTGGCACTGCTGGGGCTACACTGATCATCAGGGCACACTGATCATCAGTGCCCTGATGATAGGTGTCCCCTCTGGGGAATGCAACAGGAAGAAGGGTCAGCTGCACACGCGAGGATGGATGGATATAGTGTGTATTTATTGATCCATAGGACACACAAAACACCAGGACATGAAAACACCGTGACAGCTCGTGAGGAGAGAAATGCCAACAACTGGCATTTCCTTATTTACATGTGATCAACTGTGATTGGACATTAGTGTACATGTCCCCTCTGAGGAATGCCGATTACCGGCTCTCCTCTCGAACTGTCAGCATGACAGCTTGTGAGGAGAGAAATGCTGATAACCAGCATTTCCCTATTTACATGTGATCAGCTGTGATTGGACACAGCTGATAACATGACCAAACCGACATCTTTGGCTCTTTCTGTTGATTGGTGCAAGGTTAGAATAGGAGGACATCATATGACGTCCTTGCAGAACGAGAAAACTGCCTTGCGCCCGTCATTACCTTATATGGCGGGTGGGAGGCGGCTAAGGAATATATTCAGTCCAGTGGTCGCTTCCAGGAAGCACACAGAGCATATTGACCTTTCTTCTGGGGGTCAATACCATCTGGTAAGGGACAGTGTGATTGGCGTTGGTGAAGGATTTCTCCTTTTGGTGGTTTCCTGGGCACCTATTGGAATTTTGTCGGGTCTTGGCTTACTTTTTATCCCTTATATAGAAAAGTTCTGAATTGGACTTTCTGTTATATGGATAGATTTATTTTAAGAATTTGCTTCACCGCTGCACCTCCTATGTATTTATGTTTATGTATTGTTACCTGCAATATTGTGTTAGCTGCTTATGTGAGGTATACCCACTGAACTTGAACAGACCATGGGGCGATATAGTATATATTTTTTTATTATACATTTAGTCCAGTGATTGTTTCTGGGAAACATACAGCGCTTATTGACCTTCCTTTGGCGGTCAAAATTATCTGGTAAGGGGCAGTGTGTTTGGTGTTGGTGAAAGATTTTGTTTTCCTCCGATGTTTCTCTGGACACATATTGGACTCATGCTGTTTCCTTAACACTGGACTTTCTATATTCTATATGTTGAATTTCCTGTATCATGCTATTTTAGATATATATTTAGCACTGCATTTTTCAATTTTTATAGTTCATGTATTGTAACCAGTAATACTGTGCTAGCTGCTATTGTGGATTCTAGCTGCAGATTTTATCATTGATCTCAAGCGCGATTTTATGTTTTTATTTTTGTGGTATCTGTTTATATTATTAATATATGGTTGATAGTTATTCTGGCACATTTTTTCTTCTCCTTTTTGGGTTTGTGTAATCTGTCATTTTGCTGATATGTGATATTGTGACAAGGTGTCAGTGGGGTCCTCTAGAATCTGACATAGATAACTAGGATCGGTTGACCTGCCTATACAGATGCCAAACCAGTCATCCTGTGAGCATTTTTTTTCTATATGTGTATTTGCAATGTGATACTGGGAGTTTGCTTTGTATACAACATATCTTATTGTAATGATGTTGGATGTCTTGATGCTTGTTTGCAATATTTTATTTATTAAACAATAAAACTTGATTGTTCAAAAAAAAAAAAAAATAGCACTTTTGGTATGTGGTGCTCAGTTCCTCTTTAACTTACCAGCATGTGGGAAGAAACAGGAGGAATCGCATGCAAGTACATGGAGAATATACAAACTACATGCAGAGGATAAGGATGCTTAGTATTATTATTTATTTTTTGCAGAAGCAGTTAAATTAGTTATATTGTAATCAGTACCCGAGTCCTTATACTCCTTTAATGGCCAATAACTTGCATATAAGCCTTCAAAATGGGCACTTTTGAATTTACAAGGTTCGAGTCCCATAGACTTGCATTGAGTTTGAAGTTCATGGTAAACACTGGGCTGCTCAGCCCATCACTATTAGGGAGGACTTTTATTTTTCCCAGAATTAGGCTTTTCAGGTCCTAAAGCCTCGTAGACACAATGAGTATATCGGACAAATGATCGCCTGTTTTTTTGCATGCTAGTCTCATATCGAAAATGAAGAGGTTGCTAAAGTTACAAAAATTCTCATACGACAGAATACAACTTTGGAAGTGATGTGTTGTATTGCAATGTATTCTTTTGTTTCTTAGCATGTGTGTTCTTGGTCTCTTGATTCTTTTGAACAAATACTGTACTGATTAAATGAAAATCATTTGTTCTGTTCTTGTCCAAGAAAAATGTTCATGCTTGCAGGGCTGTAGATAAGGGGGTACCGCCAGTGCTCCTGTGCAAGGCCCAGGGCAGAAGGGGACCCGGGCAGCTGGGTGAATCGGATATGTACAGGGGGGGTGAGTGGCATGGTGGGGGGGATGGGCAAATACTTGAACCGGTTCTCTGCAGTAGTTGAAAATTGACTTCTTCTCCTCTCCCTCCCCCTGGCTTTCAGCTGCTGCAGAGAGAGCCCTACAGGGGGTTGGTTCCAGTAATTGCCCCCCACCACACCCTCCCTGTGTGCCATACAATCCCACTGCTGCCCAGGTCCCCTGTGTGCCCCCACCTCCGCAGTGCTGCATGTTTCCCTTCTTTCCTTCTTATTGGCAGCTTCAAGCACACAACAGAATCCTTCAGGATGAAGAGTGGGGGAACGGTCCAGTAAATATGCCGCATTTACAAGGCCCTTCCTTTCCTGAATGAACACAATGAATGATCAGTACCATTCACTCACACTGTTCATTCATAACTGAAGCCTAGTAAGCTGGGGTTTTTTTTTGGGGGGGGGGGGGGGGGGGGGGGAACTGTCAGGCTTGCTGTATCGGGCCCCCTGGTTTCTAACAGGAGCCCTGCATGCCTGTCCCTTTGGATAATTTTGCATGAACAGTCATGATCAGTTGTTGAAAGTTGTGTAGTAATGATCAGAGTATGGGACAATCGCTGGGAAAGCAGTATTTCTTGTCCGATTTTCTCATGGTGCTTGCTAGGCTTTATGCTGGAGCTGCGTCTTGGAGAATGGAGGCTCCTGTCGTGAATTGTATGGGACATGGCCGGGAATGATGTATAGGGAGTCATCTCAGCACTCTCCTGTCTGGCTGCAGCGCTCCTCGTGTCCAGCAGGTGGCAGGCGTCCCCCTGCTAAGCGGCGAGCAGCCATTTAAAGAACGGCAGAAGTGTGAGCTGTCAGTCCCGGGCCGGCTCCAGCCGCCGCTCCAGCTCTCAGTAGACACGGGGGGACCGAGCCATAGACACGTCTGTGCTGCTACTGGGACGAGGCTCCCGGCGGGGCTGTGATCGCTCCATCCGGACCCGGGGAGGGGGATAGCGGTACCTGGATTGGGCTGTACGGTGGAGCGGTGTGCCCCTGTGATCTGGGGGGGGGGAGCCTCATCATCCCACCATCCGAGCCGGGAACAATAGTGCCGCCGCCGGCTTTGTGCTGGGCAAGGAGAGGAGCTGCGCCCGGGACCGTCATCTTCTACCGGGGAGCCCAGCCTGCCCCCGTCCGGGATGCTCGGGACAAGTTGATGGGCTCCGGGGTGGAAGAACAAGTTTCCTTCCCATAGCACCGGGGATCCTCCATCCATCGTCCATCCATCATCCGGGCCGGCCACGATCCGGCTCACAGCGACAACTACTACAGCCCAGAACCCCCGGGACAGCCCCCGGGACAGCCCAGTCCGCCCAGCCGGAGCCCAGGCACGTAGAAGGACAACAAAAACATCGGAGACTCCCCCCCCCCCCCACCCCGAGATCTCCCCCTCCCCCCTCCTCCCTCCCCCCCGGACCGGCCGCCTCTGGATGAGCTGAACAGGTGACCAGGACCATGGACAGCGACCGGGACATGTACCGCCACTTCCAGGACTGGTGCCTCAGGACTTATGGGGACTCCGGCAAGACCAAGACGGTGACCCGCAAGAAATACGAGCGGATCGTGCAGCTGCTCAACGGTTCCGAGTCCAGCTCCACCGACAACGCCAAATTCAAATTCTGGGTCAAATCCAAGGGCTTCCAGCTGGGCCAGGCGGGGGACCTCCTCCCCGGGGACAAGCAGGTGCTCTACGTCCCGGTCAAGAGCTCGGTGAGTGGCGGGATGGGGGTGCCATGGATGGGGGGGCCGGGGTGTCATGGCTATGGGGGGGGGGGGGTCTTTGTACCGCACCTCTCTCTGCTTCCCTTCCTTTGTTCCTCTGCCCTGTACCATCGGTGGCCATTGTCATCCAGCCTGTCACTTTCCAAGGCGATGGCACAGCCGGCTGTCACAATATGTCATGACATGACCTAATGGGCATCGCTTGGCGCATTGCCCCGGCGCTGCACTCCCATACACTTCTACAGTAAACGGGGGTCTGTGCCTGGCTGGGCCAGGAAGGGGGGGGAGCAGTGTTTGGGGCCCCTCAGCAGAAGGAAGATGCTGATGATGATGATGGGGTGTAGAGTGGAGGTGAGCCATGGATGGGGCGGTGTGTAATGCAGCCTGATGCAGCTGGCAGGCGGATCGCAGGGAACGAGTCAGCCGGCCTGCCGAGCAGCACCCAGGACAAAGCTCCGCTCAGCCAGCAACCTCACAGGAGCCACAAGTAGGAGGATGAGGGGGGGGGGGGGTACCTTCCCTTCCACTACTAGGACTGCCGGCTGCCCACCAATGCCATGGCAACATACACACACTTACCTCCCTTCTCATACAACACTCTCTAATGTTTCCTTTGGCAATGGATGTGTCCTGTCTGTTGGCAACATGTAAGTAAGAGCAAAGGAGACATACTACTAAATATTTATATAGATCTCACACATCACAAACACTCACAGGATACAAGTAAGAGCAAATGAAACATACTACTGACTAAATATTTATCACAAACACTCACAGGATACAAATAAGAGCAACATATTACTAAATATTCATAGATATACATCTATATATCTCACACAGGATACAAGTCAAAGAAGGGAAGCAGATACTACAGTGCTACAGTGTACATATCTATCTATCTATCTATCTATCTATCTATCTATCTATCTATCTATCTATCTATCTATCTATCTATCAAACACAGATATATAGAATGCACATTCTGCTCTCATTTGCCATATATTTTAATTCTGAGAATTTGTGGGAACATTGATACATCAATCTGCTCTAACTTTAGAGAAGTGTACGTAATACCAAAAAATGTGGCTCATATGATGGTGAACAACTTTATGTTGTTCACCAAATATACACCAATGGGTGTATCTTATCTGTTGGCGACATTTAA